GTGGTTGGAAACGTTAGACCGTCATGGCGCGCAACAGACATCAGTGGCGTCAATGTTGTTCTGCAATTTCACCATATATTTGATGCACACCAAAAACTCACAAAACAAAACAAAAATACAAAATGGCGTGTGTAAAACCAAAAAAATCGTTTTCCACATTTTTAAATCGCAGTTCATGTTCACATCTTCTTCACCTTTTTCTTCTGCCATGGTTCTGATGGCACAATGTCTATTAACATACTGTGAATAAATAAAAATATATATAACTCTAAGCATTTCGGAGAGCCAAGACTTTGCGCGTTTTATTGAACTCCATCACAGAATTAGAATTAATACTACTGTCGACAGGTCGTCTCAGAAATGAACACTGCTCCATCCATATCTTACCAGACATCCCATGGGGCAAGTGTTATCAACGGCACATTAGAAGACTAGCGGAAGGAAACTTCAACCACAACCATACTTCTTCACGGGGTTCCCGAAATTGAAGCATGTGATGAGCATGAAGTATCAATCTATGATAAAGAACAGTGGTGTTATATTCGTGAAACACTGCTTGAATGATACGTTAGCGAAATCCGTGTCACGATTGCGTACCTCACCGAACTACAAAGGAAGTGGCCCGAGAGTGTTGAAGGTGGTCCTTCAGTCAGAACATATGGTAGCACGGATTCTAAAAATCTGGTATATGTTCCGTTGCAGGCTGCCATCTGAGGTTCGGCTGAAGACAGCCAGCGATATGCCTCCTTGAGATGATATGTCACTCAACGAACCAAACACGATGGGAGGTATGGAAGAACAATGCATTAGTAGTGTGACGAATGAGCCCATAAAACCTGTAGAAAATGATATTGACCAGACACCTTACACTGTACGTAAAAGATTGGACACGGGACTAACTATGCCGACGATGAATAACAGGTAAAACCCTACACCAAGTACACATCGAAAAAACGATTAGTCACCGGCCAATCACTAGTCGGCGAAACTTCGCGTATGAGTTATACAACCTCCGAAACATTACTTAAATCTGAGAAACTTTCATGTATGTACACTAACGCCCAAGGGTTCCTCAGTAAAATTACCGAACTTCGACTACGTCAGGTTGCGAATGCTTGGGACCTAATTTCTATTACCGAAACTTGGTTACACCAAGAAGTGACTGATGCTGAGGTTGAGATAGCCGGAATGTCACTCATCCGGAACGACCGCCCCAGCAGAGGAGGTGGGGTCCTACTCTACTACCGCAGCGATCTACAATGTACACTAGTTGATTACCTGGAAACACACGTTACCGACTCACTCTGGTGCCGTCTCCGACTGAGACACAACGACACATGTCTCATAGCTATCGTTTACCACCCCCAACGTCCACTCTGGAAATGGATTCCTGCTTGATCCGTGGCCTAAACAGAGTAACAAGCACTAGGTACAGCCATATCCTCATCTCCGGGGAATTAAATGTACACGATCTCTAGGTTTCGGCATGACGCAGTGAGCAGTTAAAAGTAGCCTTGCATGAAATGATCTCTAATGCTCCCTTGTACAATCATGTCACCAAGCCCACTAGATTCAGGACAGCAAATAAAACGTCCATATTGGACCTTGTGCTCACGATTGAACAGCTCATGATTGACAAGTTATTGATGGAGAGTCCGTTAGGTCTCAGTGACCATGTAGTAATCACGTTCAACTATGTGTGTTATGCAGAGTATCCTCCTGAACAATCAGAACTAACTCATACAATCACACGCTACCACGTACTGATAGAAATCGTCGATATAGCTGATTGGGAATTCTCAAACAACCGTCCCTTTGGAAATGTTTGGACAGAGTTCATTAATAGACAGCGACACCGTCAACAGATCATCACAGATCATCACTGACCAAACCCCTCCGTCCTGTAAGTGTGCAAGATTATAGAGGATAGTTCAGCTAGGCATTTATTTGAGATAGAAAAGCATTAGGACAATATAACAAGCCCACCACGACGAGGATACTGCCCTGGGCATGTGTACCGGTTTGTGATTGAAATCATTAGCATTCTAATCTGTCCATTAATGTTTGTAGAGCACCGTGTTGAATCTAGTCAGTTCATCGTTAACCTGTAGAGTTTATTCGCCCTCTGTCTTTCAAACTGGTCCGCGTCGACTTCGCTACTGTTGGTGTGACGAATTTCCTATGCCAGGTGCTACTGCCGGAACGGATACTCTGGTCCCCGTTGTGAACGCGCACCGCCCACCGTTCACTGGAATAGTTGGAGTGCATGGTCTAATTGCTCGACTTCATGTGGCACTGGCGCACGTACACGACACCGTTCTTGTTCCGTTCCTGGTCGATGCGTTGGCAACACCGTTCAGATCGGCCGGTGCGTTGGTCCGGTGTTTCACTGCACTGATATGATGGATGAAGAAGAGGTGATCTACCATGCATCAGGGACGAAAATAGTGCAGCGCGTGAGTAACTGCATTAATTAATATTGATCAATTTCCACTTTGCGGTGGATTTAACTGTCTTTCAAGCAATCCAGTTGAGTTACATTCAACAGAATATGCTTGTATTAGCCATGCTTAATTACGCCCACCGTTCGACGGACCCTGTTCTGTTCACTCAGCATGTGTATGGTGAGAGAGAAATTGTGGTACTCATATCAGCAGTAGGTTCCGTTATCCAGCTTACGACCTGTCCGTGAAACGAATTGCTAGTGAATCTAGACACTAACAGAGGATCCATATTCTCTACATTTTGGGGATTCTCTACTATGCTAGAACATACAGTAACCAGTAAGCTAAAACAAATTGGCCTTTAAATGTCTTCGTATGAGTAATTTATTTGTTTTCGACCTGTCCACGATTTTCTATCTATTTATCAAAACTGCATTTCAGGAATGACTGAGGCTGCCTCGCTCGACCAAAGCAGATCATCGATGTTGTTTTTGTGCGGGTGTATGTTTTTGCACAACACGTATAGCAACCCATATGTATAGTACTGTAAGTGTGATGTGAATTTACTTAAGTAAGTGTGTCACATTGGGTGCAGTCTTTTTATTCCACTGGATTTAAAAGCACTGCTCTCGGATAACGCTAGGATGGTTGCAACCACGCCCCAACGTCCCGAACTTGGTACAGGCAAGACAATAATGAGTCTTACAACTGAGACGGTAACATCAGATCTATTGAAGCACCATCATGCACTGTCCTGGATGCATCCTCAGACGGCGCAATATCTGACCTGATCAACCGTATTGCTATCTGTCCAGTAATATGGGCTCACATAGTTGGTGCTTTCGCAACAGTTCGGAATCAAAAGTTGTTAGCATAGTGAGGCGATGTTGGATCCGGTTACCAGTGTGGCCAATTTCACGTTACCATCGGGGCCTTCCGTGCATTCTGCACACCGCTGCAAAGTTCCAAATTCGTTAGCACACGCACGAGAATAAATCGTATTCGAGCGCGCGTCTAGGTGGCTCCCTCTTCCGCCCCCCAGCTCAGTGGATTTGATCTACACCGTTAAGTCATTTCACTCCGATTAGAGGATCTTTTTGATGTTCTCGACTAGTGCACACAACGATCGTTGTGTTCACTGCAATGAACAATGAACAATGATTTATAACGGGTAAAAAAGCAGGTGCTTGACATGTCTCGTACGATGTATAGTGTGACAAGAAAGATAGCGAAGGCATAAGTGAGTCGTCAGTTCGGGAGCATACAGATGTAACTGCACCGTCGTGTAAAGGGAGTATGAAATGAGAATGTACGCACACAAAGCAACAGGGGAGTGGTTATTGTTCACATCATAGGCGAGAAAAATAAAAAAGATAGCAAGGACAGCGCTTACTCGTGTGCAACTATCTTGGGTCGACAGGATACAGAAATCCAGTTTCTTTAATAGTAGAGTTTATCAAATTTCGTGCAAAGCGTTTGGAGTGACTCATTCTCGAGTAGGGTTATGGCACTATTCCCTGTCTGTTGTGCATTAGTGCCAGCATCTGTGGTCATGAGCTATAGCACGTAGTGTAAATGTGACAGGGTATCGTCAAGGCGTTTTTTGAAAAGGGATAGGGTGGGTGCATTAATTACATGTTCCGGGAGGGCATTCCAAGGCTGTGCCACTCGAAGGGAGAAATGGTTTCGCCGACATTCCAGGCGGCTGCACTGCGTGACTAACTTAAACTGGTGACCTCTTAGCGAGGTGTTTTGACTGAGTATTGGAAGGGAATGGCATGGGTGGTTGGGGTTTCTCAGGATCTGGTACACCATTATGAGATCGCCCCTTAGACGCCGATAACGTCCACTGTATATTTTGAGGGTCTTCAGCCTGAGTGGGTAGGGGAGGCTGGTCAAACCTCTGACGCTCTTCGTTGCCCTACGCTGTGCAGTATCGAGCGCGGTGAAATGGTGCTTGAGCCAGGGTTGCCACGCTTGGATAGCGTATCCCGCGTGCGGCTTCACGTACGCACTAGGCATTTTTAGAAAGATCGAAGGGTCAAACTTCCCGAAGGCTCTGCGAAGAAGGCCGAGGTACTGGTTCGCTCTCTTAGCTGCCTTTTCAGTCTGCCTCGAACAACCAAGGTCATCTTGAACTATCACGCGGAGATCGCACTGGTGAGAATCCCGCTGTAGAATTTGTGGTCCTAGGCGGTAGTTGTGCATACCCTTGTGCCGTATACTGAGAACTTTGCACTTGGTGACGTTGAAATGCAGCATGTTCTCGATGGACCATGTGTACGCTTTGTCCAGGTCCTCCTGTAACACGGTGTGATCCTCCACTGCAGCTATAGTGCACCATACCTTTAGGTCATCAGCAAAAGGCAAACAGTTAGAAGATAGCACGCTCGCGAGATCATTTATGAAGACCAGGAACAGGCGGGGTCCAAGTACGAATCTTGAGGTACGCCGCATTGAACTTCGATGGATTCTGATAGGCTGCTTCGAACCCTTACATTCAGGTGACGTTGCAGGAGAAAGTCTCCTATCCAGCCCAGAACAGGATCGCCGATTCCATAATTCTGGAGTTTGTGGAGGAGAATGCGATGGTCTATACGGTCGAATGCCCTTAAGAAGTCCAAGTAGGCCGTCTCGACTCCTACACCAGCGCCCATAGATTCCGTCCAGCTTGCACGAGCAATCAACAGATTAGTGGTACAGGAGCGATTTTAGCGAAAGCCGTGCTGCTCCGGAATGAGCATTGTGTTGTTCACCAGTTACCCCATCAAAGCCTCAGCTACAATGGACTCCATAACCTTGGAGAGCACAGGAAGTATTGTTATCGGACGATAATTTGTTGGTTCAGCACGACAGCCACTTTTGTAGATTGGCGTGATGATTCCGTGCTTCCACATAATGAGGACGTGCATCTCGTTCAGACATCGTTGAAAGAGAATTGCCAATGATCCCGCCAAACTCATGGCAGCAACTTTCAACGCCTTTGGACGAATACCGTCCGCACCTGGGGAGCTGAACTCGCGCAGAGATATCAGCCTCTTCAGTACAGCTGCGGAGTTGAACGAAATGTGATTAAGCCCTGATGGCGGCGTTATCTGCTGAGGCAGGATGTATGATGATTGCGCGCTTTGGAACGTACGGCCAAATTGTTGTCCAAGAACGTTGGCTGCCTCCTGTGCGGTTTGGGCTAACCCGCATGCGGTGTGCAGAACAGGAATACCGCGCTTAACACGGCGCAAATTGTTTACGTGTCGGTATAGCAGTTTGGTATTGGAGCGAAACTTTTCCACTAGACCTTGTTGGTTCTTCAGTTTATCCTCCCGGACGAGTTTGACACAGTGGTTCCTTTGTATGGTGTAGACATCCCAGGTATGCTCGTTCGGGGAGGCTATATAGGTCAGTTGTTATGGAGTTCTCCGAGGTGGGCAACTTGGTTGCAGACGTTTGGCCACCATTCGAGGTGGCATCTTTAGTGCGGGATTGATAGCAGTGAAGTAGCAGTAGCTGGTAGAAAGCAAACCCAATAATGGATACTGTCAGTAACCACTCCGTTCCTTATATAGGCATACGGGGCTATTAATTTTGCCTCGATCTCATTGGTGAATCTTTGTGTTCAGCGGTTGTGCTCGAGTTTCTCGAAGCCTGGTTCTCAACCACGAACTCAATCAACATGCCTATCGGCCTCGATCCAATATATCAACCGCTGAGACAGAGAGAGTTCAAGAGGATCAATAACCGTTGTCCGAATGAACCTAATGCAACACACGCACAATGAACAGCATGATCAATATGAGCCCAGACTGCTCACCCACACCTCTTGCACCAATCCGAGTACGCTAAGCCCAACCACATCGCAATAACATTTCCGCAGCCAATGAAAACGACTCGAGCACAACCTCTGAACTCAAGGACTCACAAATGAGATCGAAGCAAAATTAATAGCCCGTATGCCTATACAAGGAACGGAGTGGTTACTGACAGTATCCATTATTGGCTTTGCATTCTACCAGCTACTGCTACTTCACTGCTATCAATCCCGCACTAAAGATGCCACCTCGAATGGTGGCCAAACGTCTGCAACCAAGTTGCCCAGCTCGGAGAACTCCACAACAACTGAGCAAGCCTCCCGAGCTACCAATATACCAATTCATTTCGAGGCTATATAGGTGTGCCATGCCAAGTCCCTTAATGCCATGCACTTACGTGTCCTGTTCCTTACGAAAGACTTCATCCTTTTAGGCCGATAGAGTTTGATTACAGATGTCCTTGCCACGAGCTTGGTAAATATGTTGACGAATTCACCGCAGGCAACCTCAGGGGTTAATTCAGCTAAGAACGACCAGCTGGTTGCATCAATGAGGTCGGACAGGACGTCATAGTTGGGTTCGACACGATGTTCCTCGGCATGCTCTTTAGGATAATCAGCGTAGCACATGTAATGAAACACTAGCGTCGCATGATCACTGCGGCCCAAAGGATTATCGGTTATTACTCTCTCGACCATTAATTCTTCATCGGTGAATATTCGGTCCAATATGGATGGCCTGTCAGTTCCCCTGAATCTGGTGGGCGTAGTGACGTGGCCATAAAGAGGGTAGTCTGAAACCAGATTTTGCAAATCTGCTTTGAATTGCTCTCCTGGTGTGACCTGGGATTCGACGACATGTAAGTTGAAGTCACCAGTGACTAGAATGTGACTGTACTTCCTGTTTATCACTTGCCTCAACGCAGCTATCAAATTGCAGTCCATCTCAGGAGCATACGATGGTGAGCGGTAAACAACAGACCTCAGCACTCTGCAGATAGCGGTCTCCGGTCGGTTATCTTTGGCTGCGTCGACAAGATTACTTTGTGTTGACTTTCTGCGTTCATTGGAAGTATTTCGTGGAAATTGAGATACAATTCAGTTTCATTTCCGATTCTGGAATTTCCGACTAGAAATACTTGTGTTTTCATCACTCGGTCTCGGCGATCTTGCTATCGCCATGTTCTCCGTCAATTGGCCGCCATCT